GCCTAAAACGAGCGATTTCTCTCGAGCGGCTCGCCGAGTCAAAATTTTTGCCCTATACTTAACTTTTTAATTCTACAACACAACGGGAGGTAAAAAATGGCGAAACAGATTCAATTCCAATGATATAATTTACTTGTACTTTGACCATGAAGCCTTAAATTTCCACTTTCGTTGATTTTAGCGTCAAAATAGATCGTTGTAAATATTCATATAAATTTAATAATCGAAATATCAGGAGCGTTTACAGCTTTGAGACAGCATTGAAATGGAGTCTGTAGACAGTAAGACAATTTGAGAATATAATTACTTTGCTGTAAAAACAAATTAGCGTAAGCGTAGGAAAACTATTTAGTCCTAACGGCAAATTAACTTCTCCTAAGGACAAATTCACTCAGCGGAATATTTTCCATCCTGACAACAAAACTGTTTCTGCTCTCTAATTACGAATAATTCGCTAATTTGGTTATGCCAATTAAATTTGATTTCGCTGTTGCAACGAATATGCAATAGCAACGATGGTGGTTTCGCCACAACGGCAAACTTTTTTCCCCGTGTAGGCGCGCGATCGATTCCAGGATTAAGAATGTGAAAGTGGCATCAAAATATCGACTCGAGCCCGTGCGAGAGGAGGATCGCGGAAACGCCGCGTCAGGTTACCGTTAGTCAGCGACATCGACCGATGTTGACAGAAAACAATCTAAAGGCTCACTGATATGTTAATTACGTAAGATTCCTAGAAACTGTGCTCTCCGGTGCCGATCACTGATTAGATTACACGGGGAGTGAGATCGAGTCAGCCGATTAATCAGTGCGATAAGAGAGCAGCATTTCCTGATATCGATAAGAATTCTGCGCGAGCTCTCGATTTCGTTTTCTTCCCTCGCGGTGCGACTTGGCACTTAATCGGCCTTGCTGATAAGAATAAAGACGTTTTTGCGTCTCGCATTTTTCGACGACGACGTCGGGACAAAGAGCATTTCGCGAACGCAGCAATCTCTCTGGTGACCAGAATGTAAATTCAGTGAATCGAAGTGAGCAACTTAAATCCGCGCGGACGTTCGGATTCGCTCGTCTCTCGGATTCAACGTGTGCATTCACATGTCCGGAAATATTCGGGCAACAATTCGAGTCGAAATTTTGCCACTATCTTAAATTTTTAATTTTACAATACAGTAGGCGAACTAAGATAGCAAAATATATGCAGAGAAGTCCGATTTTAATTATAACCCATGTTAAGAATTTATATCATATAATTTATATTATAATTATAATTATATAATTCACTCCTGTCTAGACCATGATAATATCTTCAATTTCTGTTCTTCTATTATGTGCCAAAGTAAATTGTCTTTCAGTAGCATTAAGACGAAATCTGTAAAATTAAAGGTTCAAGAGACATCTTGAGGATTGTTTGAGAAACCAAATAATTCTGTTTATCGAATCAAATATTCGTTTGTTCGATCCATTCGCAAAGACAATAAATTCATTTCAACTAAAGAATCGTTAATTGTTATTTGGTTCAAATTGTTAATTGTTATTTGATCCAAAACAATCTTTTCCCTGTAATTAATTTGAATATTTCGATATCCGAGTGATATCCGTGGGTTTGGGTAAACTCTCGGGATTACTTTAGTAACGAGTGAATAATTACGAATTTACATTACATTCCTTTATTACCTGTTACCGTTAGATTAGAACAATCAATAACTTGTAAAATCTGAAATTAACTTTACACTCATCTACCCAAATATCCAGGTGATACTCGGATAATACCGGGAAGGGTATCGGGCTAGTCGAAATAGACACGGCGCTACAAAGTAGCATCCAAATTTCAACTCGGCAATGCGTATCCGAAAGAAAGGAGGGTACGAAAACAGGCTTCCGCTTCTTTCGGCACACATCTCAACGGGGAAGAGGAGAGACCGCATCGGTCGGCGGCCGATTTCGCGAGGAAAAGACGCGCGAGGGGAACAATGCAGGAGAAGTGAGGAAGGGGGGAGGGGGGGGGCGTCCGATCGGGAGCGAGCGCGCGATCTCGCCGTGCGAATCGGCACGGAGCAGAAAGGAGAGAAGACAATGGGGAGAAACGACACCCACACGTGCGCACACAACAGGGAGACGCGCTCGCACGCGAGAGCGTTCTCCGCCGACGAGATTTCTCCTTCTTCGCACCTGAACCATGGCTTGGGTGTTTTCGAGCCTTTCGGTTTCCGGCGTGCCGACCGGCCGCCGCCGCGGGGAACCGACACGCGTGACGACGAACAATGGAAAGCACGCCGGCTGAAACAAGAGCGACGATCAGCTCCTGAATCGGTGAACCTCTCTCATGAACGTGGCGACGCTTCCGCGCTGGAAATAAGCGCGACCACGACGACAACGATCTCGTTACACCGTGAAAAACTAACGGCAACGTTCGGCGCTACTTGCGTCGTTCGGAAAAAGAGAGAGGGGGGGGGGGAGGGATGANGGGGGGGGGGGGGGGGGGAGGGATGAGGCACAGGTCTTATCAATGAAGACGTTAATGAGCTATTTGCACACGCCGATGTTTATCGTAAGAGAGCGCACGCGTCGAAAGCGTGGGACGAATGTATTGTGGAAAATCTGCATAATTAATAACCTCTCCTCCCCGGCAGGAAACAGAAAGCTAGCAGGTGAATCTCTTCGTACACGCGATCGCCCGACTGATCGCGTTGATACTACTTATCTTCGAAGTGACTCTAGTCGAAATGTTAATGCTGCCTTGATGTGATTTTACGTGATCTGATTCTTTTCTTTTGGCTGCTGAATTGGCTGCGGTAGTTCGGGAAATTTACATACGCATTGAAGCGTACGAAGCGTACTTACGAGATTCTCACGTTTCGGTGTGTCATAAATTTCTTGAACTGGTATAGCCAGTTCAGCTAAAAAGAACAGACCGAAGGGTAGTTTGCGTCTATTTAGATGGCCTATAGATTAGAGAAAACCTGCTTCGACGGTACTACACCTGTTAACTTCTCTCCTGAATCTTAACAGGCTCAATTTCAATGCTTCCTTGAAGCTATAAACTCTCCCGATATTTAGATTATTAAATTCACATAGAGTGTTGAAAACAGCTTATTTTGACGCTGAAATCAGCGAAAATGAATATTTAAGACATCATGGTCGAAGTAGGAATAAATTACATCGTTAGAATTGAACCTGTCTTGCTATCTCCCAGCTTCTAACATGTTATAGAATTCAAGATTTAACATAAGGCCAGAATTTCGACTCAGGGAGTGATTTGGATATAAGACTATTTACTATTTCGTTTAGAATATCAAATGAAACTTGTAAAGTTTACTGATTAATCACCAAGAAATTTCTTTATCGTACTATTAAATCCGTGCACTGCAAAATGAGTTCGGATGGATCCACCTGGCAATCGGCAACCAAATCACGCGTTTCGGTTAAAGGAAAGCAAATATCATCATTTCTGATTGTAAGAATTAAATTCGGTTCGTGCAAAGTAGAAATTTCGTTCCCCTTGTCGGATAATTTCAGCCGAACATTTTTTTCCCAGCTCCTCGGCCCGATATTTCCAATTTCGTCAGGAGCTTTCAATATTATCCGCTTGAATCGTTTGTTATTCCCAGTTCTCAATTATAATCGTTAGGCTGATTCGCGTTTTCAGAGCGTTGACACGCGGAGAGAAGCAGCTGCGGCGACGACCGCCAACGCCGCGAGGATTCCGCACCATCTGCCGACTCGCGGGATGATAATTAACGCCGCGACTCGTGTATGAGAAAGTTAACGCGTGCCGCGAAAGTGGAGATCGATGTGTCCAACGCGATATCCGATGGATAATCGAATTCAGCTTACACCGGGCATTAGCGTAAGCGTTGGAGCGTGCGAGCGAGCGATTCCGCGGCTTTCCCGTGGGTTTTGCACGCGGGTGAGCGCGGATTCCGATCGCTCATAATCGCCGTTCGAGGAAAGGACTGATAATAATACCGATCGCACTACAACAACCGTGACGTTCGCCGTCGACGGTGTCATAAAAGTAAAGCGCGACAAAAATGGGAGGAGAAAAGAGGAGCCGTCGCGCGCGCATTCACACACGTGTCGCGCGAAAAGATAGCGAGATACGGTTCGAGGTAAACGACATCCGACGCAATCACACGGACACGCGCGTGTCCTCACGCGAAACGGGCACGAAGCGGGACATTGTGCGGATCCGTGGACGGATCCAAGTGATATATCCGCGATCGAAGCCGGTATGAAGGTAGCGAATCGTCGTCGAGGAAGGGCGTTGAACTTCAACGTGGCCTTCGGCTAACCGCTCGCGCGATCAGCTGGATTTTCCGCTACGTACACGTGCATTATTCGCGATCCCGCGCACGTTTATGTCGCACGGTAGGCACGGTACGTGCAGCCCGGCGGTATCCCCGCCGGCTGGATCGCGTGAAATACAATAACGACGCAGTCAGGGACAAAGTTGAGTGAACGCGCGACTCCACGTTAAAGCGTCCGATACCCGTGAAACAGCCGCCGCGCCACGAAGCTCAACGGGATCAATGGTAGCGAAAGAGCGGGCTTTCTCACGCGGCGCGAGCGATCGATCGCGCGCGACGCGCCTGCGGCCTTCTCCGCTCGTCTCGCCGAAATCGTAGCCATTCGACTCGATTTACTCTTATCAATCGATACACGGAGAAAATAACGGTGAGAATTCCGGGAAAAAAGATGAATCTTAAATCAAGATTTCCTCGGATAAGCAAGACATAATCTTCTCAGGGGACTTTTAGTTTTGACTTGATGAATTTATATTCGTGCTAGTATTAATTGAACAATTCGAAGCTGAAAATCTTGTAAAAAGATGATAATATTCCCGTTTATGAGAATATAGTTCTCGAGTTAAGACTAATTCCGTGTACTGGAAAAATGATTCTCCCATAATTTCTCCATTTGTACGATTATAGTCACAAGTATTCTTTTTCAGCGTTGAAGAACGGGGGAGAGGAGGGGGAGAAAGAGAGAAGACTCACCTGTTTTTGGGCGTGTTTCTCCATGATGCGGTACGAGGGCGAGTTGTGATGACCGGATGCTGCGACGACGGCGCCCGCCTTACGAGACACGCATTGCCCCATATAGATCCGCCAACCTTGTCCCAACACCGAATGCTGTCGCACATCGACAAAGTAATGCGTTAGTTGGTCGTCGCTCGGGGCGAGTGTGAATTCACTAAGCCGCTTTTCGCTTTGAAGCCGCTCGGAGAGGAAAGTAAACCGGAAATCAAGATACGTCTGGAAAAATTCACAGGCGAATCTCGTTGCCGCGTTACCGGTCAGGTCGGTCGCAAAAAACTGATCGTCCAGCTCTCATCTCCGTTTGGGCTTAGTATCGGATCAAGTTACCCGTCTGACTTTCTTTTCGAGGAAATTAAACGACTCCTTCCTGAGAGGAAAGAGAAGTGTCCGAAGACTTCGCGTAAGATTCGCCCATCTCGACGTTGCGTTCATCTTTCTCGTCTTTTTACTCCGCACCACCTTTACGATGAATCTCTTGCGCCGACCTAATAGATAGATACCCCGCATACCATAGTCGACATGTATAGCGGAAGGAGTTAAACTATGCGTGTAATCGCCATCATCCTGATTGCACACCTGCCTTTCCCATTCACCTTCGTTAATATTTCACTTTGCGGTTGACTGACGCGCCGAGGAATTCCTTTATTTAATTCCTCGTCAAGTGTGAAATGAAATATATAAGCTGTGCGAGGGAGACTCCGCAGCAGATAGATAGAAAGAGAGGCGGAGATGGTTAGAAAGAATGAAAGAGAGAGAGAGAGAGATGACGAAGACCAGGGTAGTAAGAAGTAGAAGAGCTACCGCCACCAGCGTGTGCATCCCGGGAATAGTATCGCGCTAATCGATACGCAAAGTCTGTTTCGCCTACAAAGAGAGAAAATGTGCTATTTCACGGAGCCATCGGAGCCGCGTCTGGGGGGGTACCTGTGCGCCGTGTATGATTACCTTTCGAGTTACAGCACCGGCTCCCCCCTCCCACGCATACACCACAGGTCACGAACCGAACCTGCGTCCCCATTAGATACGCCAGGGGCGTTATTGCGATATACAGAGTGTCTCGCGAAGGAGACATTAGAGGTTCTCCGAGAGACACTCTCGGGGAAATCTCAGGCGAACTCTTAATTACTTCGATGCTGCTCTCGAGCGCTCCGTACGTCCAACCTTCGCCTTACTTCCCTTCTTGAATTAATTCACAGGAGTGTGTGTGTGTGCGAAAGTACATTTCAGGTAAAAACGAGACTTTTCATCAAATGTTTCGTACTCCTGACAGTCAGCCGTTGGAAATAAGACACGATCTGTGCGCAAAAATGGAACGTGCAGTTTAAAGCCCTGATTCTCGTTACCTCCTTGTCCTCCCCTCCCCCCTGCAATTCAAATCGAGATGGATAATCGGTCCGTGAATGCGAAACGCGATAGCGATCGCTCGCACGTGTATTCAATCTACAAGGAGTATATCGCGCGCGAATACCGTTATAAAATACACGGAATATCCGGAATGTAACGTTGGCGAATTAATAAAAACATCTCTTTCTCTCGTGACTTGTTGTCCGTCCGCGTGTAATTCGTCCGACATCCTGCGCGAGGATAACTCTCCTCCGGGGGATAACCGGTGCCCGGTCGGAAGACAAAAGGTGAAAAAACACATGCGAGAGGAGCGCCCGAGGAATTCGATTCTAAATGCATCGCATAGATGGTGAAAGGTGGTGACCGGCGTGCTACGATCGCCAAATGTAGGACGATAAATGGCACTGGCCCAATTTATCGTGCAGCGAGGCATTACGGGAACGTAAACTTCCGTACAACGTAAATCGTCAAAGCAGCAGTTGACGAATAAACGAAGAGCCATTGAGCAAAAACACAACAAATTTTTATCACCGGAGATTTCGATATTCAAAAAGAGAATTCGCCTGTTTGGTGGCTTTCATCAAATTCCGGTTAAAGTAATCGACGATTAACCGGCAGAACTGTTTAATCGAAATTTTATGTAAACAAGCCGGAATTTTGGATACATGTTAAATCTTTAATTCTACAACACAGTAGGAGCTAAGATAACAAGATTTATTAAAATATATTTAATAAAATCGATAAAAAATATTATTCGATTTAAGAGGCTGAGAAACAGGTAATTACGTTTACTTCGTTCTAGTATTTTCTTTTTTCTTAGAAGTTCAAGAGAGAAATTAATAAGTGTCACGAACGTCAAAACGAGTTTTTATAAATGACTCTACGGCCCATCTAAATGTATGCAAACTATCCTTAAGAACGTCAAAGTATCAATCAAAATCTCGACTCTGGAATCACCTTAAGGAAAATAAAAGCCCAATTAATTGACACTACGTTGTCTATAGTATAGTAGTTTATAGTATTCCCGATATTCGTTATTTTTAGAAAGTCTTATAGTTTCAAAGTTTCGGGAAGAGAAAAATTAATTTTTCCGCGAATTTCCTCGCGGTTTCCGTCCCAAGGGTGGAAAAATTCGTTCTGAGAAAGGATCACGCGTGTTCGGTTAAAACTTGAAAACAATAGAAAGTCATAATCGACACAAATACTGAGAGGCGTCGCGAGACGTGAGACCGAATGTAAAACACACACACACACACTCCATTAATGACGGGCCATTCTGTGATGCGCGTTCCTCGTTTCGCCGTTCGTACTCGCTCGCTTTCAGCCCGCAGGAAGCGTTATCTCCGCAGTCGGTCGTTCTAATGCAGATCCCGGGCTGATTTACGACAGACAGGTGATTGTGTTCGTGTCGAGCGGTGCTTCTCGCGCCGCGCCGTAAATGCATGGAATTTGACCTTTCTTGCCGTGGCACTCGTGCGAAATCCCCGCTTACCGTTAGCGGGCAAAGCGCGGCGGCCACCGCGAAGTACCAGACACGACGATGTACCTTCGCAGGTGTACTCGATTCTCTAATCGGCCGGCCCATGTAACGCGTCGCGTCCCCCCCTCCTCCCGAACAACACAAATCTCCACGATCGTGGCCGTGTCAGTCGAACCACAAAAAAAACGGTAAATAGTCGTAGGAATTTCCATAACACGTAAGCCACAAAACGATAGCCGTGAGGATTATTCAGCGAGTCGCACGATTTTTCGGCGTTTCGGCTTATTCAGTAGTTTTGAATTAAAATTTTAACCAAGTCTATATGTCAAAATATGTCAAATATGTCGATTTAACAAAAAATTGTTTACTGCCATAAGTTAAAATGAGTCTTAAAGTAATCAAATTTTGGCATAAGAAGTGATAAAATCTATCGAGACCAAATGTTATTATTACGAATAATTGATGAGTCAAGATAATTAATATCTCATGTGTTGGAAGAAAATGTGTTAGTGTCAATTCGCGAAAATTTTCGATTTCTGCGCGAGCGGCACACAACGAATGGGTTATTTCGACTTAGAATTTAAAGCGGACTTTCTGGGACACGTGAAAAGTGTTGAAATTAACATTTTACTTTTTACCGTGTATGATATTCTCTTTACACGTGCAACTAAAATTCGGCAAAATTGCAGCATCTTTGTCAGACGAAACAATGGTTGTGTCCACGCGATGGGAACACCGATGATTGTCCGCGAATCGAATTTTGGACACACATCCCGAGGAACCTCCGAATATATACACATACAAATTCCATTTGGATTACTCGATATCTGAAATGATTTCTCGCCGGATTGCGAATTTACTTCGTGTCTCTCAGATTTCTCGGACATTTCCGTGGAATTTTCCGATTCGACCGCGCGATCGGTGAAATGAGATTTTCCGCGGAAATCGAGAGTGCGAGCGACAGGGGGGGAAGAAAATTAACGAGGGAAAGAGGGACAGAGAAAAAGAGAGAGAAAGATACATGGTTAATAGCGCGCGAGATTGCTTACTAGAAAACAGCGTGTGCATGCACCCTTTCCCCTTACGCGAAAGTACACACGCGCCCTTTGCCGGAGCCGAGAGAATTGGCATTACCGCGTATTTCCGCGGCTTCCGTACTCACAGAAACGAAAATCCCTGCGGTTTTATGCCTGGCCTGCCGGAGAGTAATCTCGAATACACTGGAAAAAAGTAAATGCGTCCACTTTCATGCGAGGACTCCGAGACTTTTTCAGGGAACTCGCCGCCTCGTCCGCATTCGGACGCGTTCGACGGGGGGGGGGGACTCCGGATCCCTCAAGAGGGAAAAAAGCCGCCTGAGACGAAAATCGCGCGACGGCAAGAGTGCGACGCGGCGCGCCACGTGAGACATTTCCATCGTCGACGAGAACCGACGATCCGGAGGACGTCGCCGAACGACGACGACTGTTGATCAACGCTATCAATCACTCCGTACTTCTCGGCTCAGCGCGCGTTGGACGCTGCACCGAGCTCGGTGACGCAACGCCGTTGAACCTCCGTCGAACGTACGTACGTTTTGTTTATTTACACGACGGTGTGACGTCCGTGAGTCACGCGAGATGACGATCGAGATATCCAAAGATCGGACCGGCTACGTGGAGCTGGACTTTCGCGAGTTCCCAACCCCGAGGAATGCACGTGATAATCTCGCCCGACGACGCAGCGAGCGTTGTCGAAGCGCAGTCGGAGCACGTAACCGCGGGTGAGGTTAACAACGGGCGAGATACGCGGACGACCGAGGACGGGAGGTAACACAGACGAAGCGGGGGGAGCTTACCTCTTCTGCAGCTGAATCTCCCGGGCGAATCGCGCGAATACGTGGTATACATCATAGGAAACTGGCACTGGAAGCACCTACGAGCAGCGACGCACCGATCGTGCGAGCATGTCACCGCGGTTCGCGCGTGGAGCTACTACGGCAGCGGTGTCTGGAGTCGCGGGCGAGCGAAGAGCTTGATATTCGCCTGCGGATGTCACGACGACGTTCTCTCTCGCATGGGATTCCTCCTCCGTGTTCCTGCGAGCACGAAACTACGTACGGGATCGGCAGCGCGCACACCACCTGTCACTTCGCCCGTACTCGATAGCATGGAACATGCGTCGTGCTGATGTCACCGGTCGCCCCACTCCGTACGGCGTGCCGACGGCCAATGAGCGCGCGCGCCCGAGTGCGCCGACTCCGCCGCACACGTGACGCCGAACGCGCGAAATTCGTAACTCTCTAGGCCGAGCTCGACGGCGGATTCGGTCCCCGACGAGCTCACCCTCCACCGGAGGCGCGTTCGACCGTCAATCTCGACTCGGGGCTGGATTCACGACGATATCGGACGTCTCGGCGACGCTCGAAATTGAACGTTTCTATTGGAAACGCGCTGGCGGGCGCGATATCGAGCGCCGAGATTTCGGCTAACTTCACGTCTCCCCGAGCACCACCCTAACCTCACTTTCCGGCCGTCATGGTCCCGGAGGTTATGTGAATAGCGTTTCGTTTGAGATAACAAAAACAGTTCTGAAATGGAGGCGGAAGATACGGAGCTGCAGAATCAGAGCAAAGAGGTGATATTGTTCGGCCGGGACATCAGGAAAGTTCCCTGTTTTAAGAACAGTATATTGTTCGGCATATACAGCGGCTTAGCGACCGGCCTGGCCACCTTCATGTTCACGAGCCGTGTTAAACTGGCGTCGAACGTGGCCATGGGTTCCTACGTGAGTGTTGCCCTGGGTTATTATTTCTTCTGCCGATACACCTACGTAAAGAACAAGTACGATATTGCCGAAATACAGCAAGCGTTGCGGCACAAGCACTTTAGCAACGATGAAGAGAACATGCAGAGTTTCCTGCAAGATGACGAGAAGCTGGAGGATGCTTGAGAGAGACGTCCCGCCTGAATGTAACATTGTGCGTGGCGTGAAATCCGATATTGTTTATAACAGCCCAATATGCACAAAGTAACATAGTTGAAATTACTGTATTATTTACGGGACTCTCGCGAAAGTCAGCTTGTCGAAGCAGTTTCTTAATGATTACTTGGAGAAACAGTACAGTATCAAGGTAAAATTTGATACTTTAGGATTGTTATTTTAATTCTACGTGTACATACAAGGTACTGATTTGTACTAATTTTGTACAAAGGTAAATCTGTAGAATGTCTAGCATGTTACATTGTAGTTACCGCATAGCCCAATCGTTAATTGGTATTACACGATTGCGTGTAGCTCATTGTATGAAAACCCAAGAAAAAAGATTATATATAAACACATGTAATTTATATATGAATTTTGTCTCTATATGACTATATATTATATATAAAATTACATATGTCTTCACGAAATAAAAATACTGTTGAATGAGAAGCGGAAGAAATATTTTGGTTGAATTAAGTGTTTATATCGTGGGCAATCACAAACATAAGCACTTCGGTTATATTCGTATAACAATATTTTTCAGACATAGGACATATATAATTACATATGATTATATACGGGCATATATAGACAAAATTCATATACAGTAATTTTTTTCCCGGGATTTTAGCCAATTAAGAAGCAACCTTGTTAGATTATTTTTCAAATTATACAACGCGTAAGCGTTTGTTGTAATTTACCTTTGAATAAAGCTGTTTTCCGAACACAGGAGCTTAACTTTCCTTTCAACAACTTCCCGCTATCGCACGGAGGCGACGTGTACCGCGCTACCTCAGTTCGAATTTCCGTAAACTGTCAATGACGGTGCGCGCGCGTGTAAAATGTAAACAATAAATGACCTCTCGCAAGGTGCGAGCACATGGTCCCGTTGATCTCGCGATATCGACAGCACCGTCGCAGTTGTAGCGATGTTGCACACGCGACTTCCACGTGAATGGAGAATACGCGTGCGAGGATAGAACCGCATACGACGAGGATTAACAACGAGAGACCTTGGACCGTTCCAAGCAATCGGAAATGGAGCAGACCGATACGAGCGAAGACGAATCGGACCTGCCGACTCCGAACTTCGGCAGGAAAAATCGTTACAGTCGTAACAGTCCAGGTATACGCTCGATCGTTCAAAACGTTCAGAGACACATTTAAAAACCCGCACCATCGGCGTCTCAACTCGGGTTTCGCCCTTTAAATCACTTATAAATCTTTTCAAACGTTCATATTGATCATAAAGTGAATATCGTGCGATCATAAAAATTACATTATCCATCTAATTTTGTAGCTAATGTAATGAAATTAATTTTGAGATTACCCGATGATCGAAATTTGGCTCATAAGTCATACCTTTAATTCTACAAGGTATGGCGCAACAGTAGAAGCTAAAGTCGCAAAATAGTTTCAATTATAGCGACATCATTTCCTATATAACATAAATATATGTAACAAATTTTTATTTCCCGTTTTTAGCATCAAAATGGGTTGTTTTGAATACTCATATGAATTTAATAATCGAAATATCGAGAACATTGGTCGTTTCAAAGTAGCATTGAAATTAAATCTGTAAAATTCAAGGTTCAAGAGAGAAGTTAACACAAATGCGATATCGTCAAAGTTTTTATTACTTTATAAACCATCTAAGTGGATTTTAGGTACACTCTTTAAGAGCATCCAAATTTCGGCTCAGATTTCCAATCAAGTATCATTTCGTAATCCCTATTGTACATATCTCACATATCTAGAATCTATTCTAATACGTCTAAAATATTCTAATATGTCTAAATATTCTAATATTTTGCCACGGGCGCTACACACGTGCCAGTTACACCCTCGTCCATTACGAGTTCCGTGATATTCGGACAAATCCCCGAAGAGGTGCTGCGCGTATGGAGTCAACTACCGGAGGCGGTTCGCCTGGATCCCAGCCTGGCGCTTTTCCAGCGGGAATACGACCGGGTCAATCAGATGACGGGGTCGAAGTAAGTGATGCGACGGGAAGTTGAAGTTTGGAGCGATCTTCGAGCGAAAGTTAAAAATAGTTTCTCCTCGTAAAAGTCACGGTAAAAACGGTAAAGCTGTATTAAAAGTAAATAATTACGACATAAATAAACAACGAAAAGCGAGAAATTTTCGAAGCAATAGGATTGCTAAATATTCGACGAAAATATCCAAGTTTTGTGCCAATAATTCGAAGCATATTTCTGTTGACCGACAAATTAGAGAAAAAGAATAATTTCGCTCGTCCAAACTTCAATTATACACAAGAAGCGGGAAACGCGACGGAGGATCGCTTGGTGTTCACGATAATATGTTCGCAGATCGTCGGATAACGCAAAGCAAGACTACCTGGTTGTGAACATGTCCCTCGGTAGGCAACCCGCGGTGTCAATCAGGTAATTGCTGGGGGCAGCAAATTTTCCGTCTGATTCGTTAGAAAGAGAACGCGGCCGACTTCGAGGAAAGAGAAACGACCCGGACGTTTGTCGCGCTAATAAATCCGGCGTTTTCGCAGAGTCCCGAACATCCGCAACTTCAACGAAGGAAGCAACGGACAAGATAGCCAAGCGTCCCAGGACATCAGACAAAAGACGTTCCGCCGTTACACGAAACTGACCGTGTTGTTCTGTTGTTGGCTGATATTCACGGTAAGAGAAATCACGTCGTGCGGGGAAACCTGGCCGACCGCGTCGGCTATCGAATCGACATCGAATTTCGAAGCCTGTTGCAGATAGCACTGATGTTCAAGAGCGAGAAGATCGAGACGATGCATCAGATCTCGATCCCGAACGGAGAAAACATGAGTATCCTTCCGTTCATGCGACAACCAAATCGGGAGAACACTAACGCTTGCCATCTGGAAGCCAATTAGTAGGCTTTGGTTTTTTCTTTCTCCATGTAGTTTGGAACGTAGCTAATGTTAAATAGAACAATTGTTTTTGAATAATTTCCACAATTCAAAATCTCTCATCAGACATCGAAACTGTGTTTCGAGCAAACAAACAAAGTTTCAAATCGCGTTGAAATCAAATGTACGGTCGGCGTCATGAATTATGTACTATTAGTATGTACTATTCTCAAGACGCAAAGTCACATGAATTCCGGTCTTACATCTATATCTAGCACTTTTATCTGTGTATTTGTAAAAAGTTAAAAATGAATGGTAAAAAGTTGCAATCTAGTTAAAATTCGTCGTCAAACGATGTACAATTTAGAAAGTAAAGTAAGAAAGTATCATCCTTAACGATATTCAGATTACGAAGTTCACGAGCATGTCACAGGATGCAAACGGATTAAGGTGACGGTGCAAGGCTCGTTGTTGCCCTTAATGATAAATAAACAGAATCTAACTACACCTTACTTGATAATATGGCTGAAGTTTTTAATACGAGAAGACACTTACGGACGGCCCTTCGATAATGAATCACAAAAGTTGGAGGTGTTTATTTCTTCGCTCAATTAAAACATCCTCCTTGTAAATGATTTTGAACAAATCTGAAACAGAGGAAAAAGGGAAGGGTTAGTCGCGTATTAAGGGAAGTTAATAAAGAATAAATTAAAAATATATAAGCGTATTGTCCGCGAATGTCAGTTGCAGAATATAAGCGACGTGTGGGTCTTGAGCATACCGCCCGAACATTTGATGGATTACTTCCTCGATCAAAGACACGAGAAGATTTTCGAGTTGAACGAGGTCGACGACGAGTACGTTGCCTGTGTACGACTTTTCGCTTCTCCCTAACGTTGCGTCCCTTCGAAATTATTCTCACCTTTCGGCCCGCAGGACGTTGTCGCGCGGTGTGATGTCCATCAACTTCCGTACGAACTTGGACTCTACTTTTCCGGTTTACATCAATTACGACTTGTCCTCGGTGAACAGCAACGTCGGTATTATATGCGCCGCTTTGGTCTTGATCGGCTTGTACATCTTGATCATCTTCGAGGTAATTATACCGAAAAATGAGTTTGCTGGAATCTACCTGACAATGGCCAATGGAAAACTTCATTCTTCCTGTAATCTTCGTGTATTTTTCATATTTATTTGATCGTACTTAATCGTATCAGATTGTACACAGGACTCTGGCAGCCATGTTAGCGTCCACGATGTCCGTCGGGATATTGGCAGCTTTGAACGAGGTACGCGTAGACAAGTAGTATACTTATAACTTCCGCGATAAGACCTTGAAGTACCGTCTTAAAACCCAGCATCCGTGTTTTAGCGACCGACCATGGCCCAGTTGGTCTCTTGGATAGACATAGACACACTGCTGCTGCTGTTTTCCATGATGATACTCGTCGGCATCATCGCCGAGACCGGCATATTCGATTGGATGTCGGTCTACGCTTATAAGGTGAATGGTGTGCAACCATCTAAATCAGATTCCGTTCGTGATTAACCGACGCCCATCTATTTGCAGATATCCGGCGGCAAGATGTGGCCGTTGATCAACACCCTGTGCTTCTTCACCGCGTTCGTCTCGTCCTTCTTGGATAACGTAACGACAGTGTTGCTGATGACTCCGGTGACCATCAGGCTGTGCGAGGTGATGGAGCTGAATCCGGTTCCGATCTTGACCGCCATGGTGGTGTACTCCAACATCGGGGGCGCGATGACGCCGATCGGCGACCCGCCGAACGTCATCATCTCTTCCAATCGGGACGTTGTAGAAGCTGTGAGTATCGCCGTCAAAATCGCTCGGAGGAAAAAGATCGGTCGAATTAACGCGACAATGAACGAATGAAACGCGGTTTTCTTAAAGAAAATAGTAACATTTCTAGTTCTTAGCGTTCTTATCCTCAATAAGAAAACATTTATGAAGTTATATGACGAAATATTGTATTAAATTTGTGACGCTGCAATTGTGTGGGTATATTTCCGCAAATATATGCAGGAATATTGACTTTTACAACATTTTGACAACTATTTGCGTAATTAATTTCCAAGTAATATTTCGGCAAAATAGTAACGATGTAGCGGATTATCTTAGCGGAATATTTGCAGAATTAAATTTGGAAAAAAATTGCCTAATAATTAGGAAAAATATTTCAGCTGTATTCCATTTCAAGTGTTTTAAAATATAATTGTATCTATGAAGGAATCGAATTAATACATATTTAAGTTTGTAAGAATGCACAATTATTCCTAAATTATAATTTAGAAATACTGTAACGCATGAAATATTACATGTTCAGTATGTCGGAACTTGAAAAAAGAAACAAGCGGTTTGAAATCATGGATAAATAATAAGTAGAAATGTGTTCTCCGTGCGTCGTGCCAGAGAATGAAATGAATCGGAGGCGGATCGAGACGAAATTTCTTCCGGTCTTGACGGGAATCTTCGCGCGCTCGCGTCTTTCGGTTCGTCTCTTCTGCGTCGCGATCGAAATGTAACGTCCTCGGTGCGGACTCACGACTGACTGGTGTAATCATTACTGTTGCGGCAGGGAATCAATTTCGGCACGTTCTTGTTGCACATGAGTATCGGAGTGATACTGGTGCTGATCGTAATCACTGTACAATTCCGCTTCATCTATCGCGATGTGACGGTCCTGAGGTTCGACGTGCCGCAGGATGTGCAGGTTGGAGGAAAATCGTCGATATTTTTTTATCACCCGCCACGTTGTCGCATAAATGATCTACACGAATAATCGTCGCAGGAGCTGAGACACGAGATCGCCATCTGGCAACGAGCGGCGGCCAGTTTGTCCAGTTACAGCAAGGACGAGAACGTTGTGAGGGAAACGTTGTTGAAGAAAGCCCAACGATTGCTGTCGCGGCTCAAGTCGAAGGCGATGACGGGCAGCGCGGCGTTTAGGAACTACAGGACCACGCTCGACGAACTGCAGGAGAAGGTTGAGCTGGACGGCCCCTGTCCTCATTTATTTATTTGTTTACCTACAAAATAATAGAATAACGCTTATACGAAGGAAGAGGACAAGAAAAATGAATTTCTTAATTTTTGAAGATTGGGCAAAAATCCATTTTTTTCAATCTTCTCGCGGATATTTTCGGTTTCTTTCCTGAGGATAGAAAAATTCATTTCGAAAAATTCACGTGCGTTCGGTTGAAACCTGACATTTACTTCTTTCAAGCAAAGAAAATAATTGCAAGCACTTAACTGAAGTTAAATGAAGTTAATATGTTACATGTTAAGCAGGTAACATTATTACCTTTAAAGAGTTACAAATTGCAGAACAAATTTTTCTATCCTTGCAAGAACAAAAGTAAAAAAAAAAATCCGCAGAAAAACTGAAAGAAAAAAACCGTTTTTTAAAACTATGTATATTTCTATAAGCAGAGAACTAAATTTATTCCTGAGTATAGTTTAAAGCATATCAAAGAAATCAACGCAATCCTGATTACTTACGATGCTGATCACTGCTATTCTGTCGTCGCATCTCTCTCTATCCTTGACGAATGTTCTCATTCTTATTCTTCCAAACGCAGTATCCTATCAGGGACAAGTGGCTATTAGTGAAATCGGGCTTCGTGTTGTTCTTCGAGATGACGCTCTTCTTCCTGCACAGCGTGCCCAACTTGAACCTGTCTCTAGGCTGGACCGCCCTCATCGGCATCCTGTTGCTTCTGATACTAGCCGACAGCGAGGATCTGGACGGTCTCATGGCGCGTGTCGAGTGGAGCACCCTGGTATTCTTCGCGTCGCTGTTTATTCTTATGGAGGTGAGTATCGACGGGGACGTCCGCGTAGGAGGGGAATCGACACCCTCGCTCGATCCCGGGAGTTTCCCCCGTGAGGAAGAGATCGTCAACGTCCTCGAATATTCCTCCAGTGTCTCTCGCGCTTGGGCTTCATCGGTTGGATCGGCAAGCAGACGGAGACGATCATCCTGTCGGTCAACGAGGAGTTTCGATTAGCGGTCGCCATACTGCTGTTGCTCTGGGTGTCGGCGTTGGCGAGTGCCTTCGTCGACAACGTGCCGCTCACCACCGTGATGGTGAGGATCGCCACGAATCTGGCGCAGAACAACGAGCTCAAACTCCCGTTGCAGCCTCTGGTGTGGTCCTTAGCGCTGGGCGCTTGCATGGGAGGTAAGGAGGTACACCATAAATCCGTCGAACACCGAGATGCATATCGTAGCACGAAGCGAAGCTCACAGCTCGCTCGTTATTATTGTACAGTCGGAGGCATGTACACGGAAAAAGACAATTAATATCCATTCAAGACTCACATATATAAGCAAGAATACATAATCTTGCATGGAGATAAAACTTGCTCTTTACGCATGAAGAAATCTGCTTACCGGGATTTACAATCATGATAATCCTATCATTATAATTCGAATTACTTGTACAATTTTCAACCTTATGCATAAGGCTGAAAATCGCGTAATCCTCCGTCTGAGAGACGATGTAACATACATGACACCGACTGCACCGTTGCTCGACTTGTCTCAGCTGTCACGCGTGAAAATATCGGCGCTCTTCGACGAGCTTTTCGACGAGCGCCGGTTTCCCCCGTTTACTCGAACAATTGAACAATGATGGTGTTTAAAGGAAATGGAACTTTGATCGGAGCTACCGCCAATGTGGTTTGCGTGGGCGTCGCGGAGCAACACGGCTACAAATTCAATTTCATGCAGTTCTTCAGGTAAGTGGCACCGTGACCTTACCGAAGCGGTATCCACGATGAGAGGAGGCGCGTTATCAAAGCAGTGTTAACGAAGTTGCAATCTCATCGAGAACGTGATCCTACAAATTACTGTGATTGCGGTTAAACATATATTGCAGTAGTTTTCCGGTCGCACACGCGCGCGCGTCACGGACGTTCCTCGACGTTCATTCGAATCGGAGCGCTACTTTGCTATTATCTTAACATGTTGCAGGGTAGGATTCCCTATCATGATAACGAGCACCATGACGATAACGATATATCTGATGGTTGCCCATGTTATAATCGGCTGGAACGGAACGTAGTGTACCAGGTGGCCGAAAAAGTGTCAACGCGAGATGATACTTTCTAAAAGCGCACAAGGAACGTACATCATTATACAATGCATCGAATTGCGCAAGAACGCGCTCACACATCATACATAATCAGACGGTCATTGCGTAACATCGCTCGCTTCTCGAGATAATCGTGCCGCAAGTGTTTTGGTGGGGAGAATTGTATATGTGCATACGCGATCCGAGTATTTATTATGCGTCAAACATGCGTATAATTTTAACATACACTTTCTTATGTTTCAGCAAGTATTCGTGTAAAATGTGTAAAAAAAGAAAGAAAAGAGAAATCGAAACAGCTCCTAGGCATAAACGTTATACCGTGGAAAATCAATCGTAATCACGTACGATATATATATATATATATATATATATCGAGTCCCATATGCAATAAATTGTTCCTTCGAAGTTTGCTAAAAGTCGTTCTTCCCTTCGCGTTGCTCGCTTTCGATTTCGTGAAATAATTACTTGGCAGACCTTCATTGCAAAAAGGTTTTAATGATCACATAAAATACATGTACACGCTAGACGCAATTCGTTGAAATATACTTTTATTAAAAAACGGGGGCTCTCTCTCCGGGTGAAGAGGGAAACGATTTCAATTCCAAAGGTCGCCAGACGCGCGGCGTTACGTATCGGATCGTTTAAAAAACCAGATAACTTATCGCGAGTCTACGCTACTTAAATCCCCGTAATTACGTTCAGCTTAACGCTTAGTCGTGTGTTACTGAAAAACTCAACATTGAAGTGTGTGTGTGTGTGTCTCTTACTTTAATATCTCTTATAAAATCGGTATTCTTGTAATTAAGACAATAAGCTATTTGTGCGTGTGATTCGCCGCTGAAACATAAGTTATTGCAATGAAAATAATTAAAATCACTGCTAAGCAGACACAAGTGTGAGCGTTCGTTGATCTCGTTTGTCGTGTCAAACCAAACGTTCCCTCAAAATTGTCCACATACGAAGAAAACGAGTTTCTTGTGAGCAGATAAAAAAAAAAAGAAGGAAAGATATATGACGATTGCTGCGGAAATTGTCGTATTTACAATGAATACAACGTACTAAATATATAACGTCAAGAACAATGCGTTATTGCTTGTCCGTAATCCTGTTACAACTAAGTACAGTTCCGATAGTGTTAACCGTTTCCCTTCCGCTCACGTGCATATCGCGGAGTTTCGTTTTCAAAGATGCGTGAACAGGAACAGTATGTGTGTGTGTGTGTGTGTGTGTGTTGACGAAATTCTGAGAAAGTAATCTACTTGAAATTTACTCGCGAAGACTGGCTGACACATGAAATAAAAAAAAAACTGGGTAGTTGTTTCGGACAAAAATCGATTCGAAGGAGAAGGTTACTGGAACGTCTGTCAATGCTGACAATGTTTCTAAAACGACCACGTCGGGTGGAAAGTCCCACGGGTTTAACGGAGGAAACGATCGAAGTGAAACTTATCTTAAATATGACTGGTCTCAGTTTTACTACACAGTTACGCTATAGATTATATTTGAATGATTCTGATTTTTTTTTGCGATTATACAATGTTTTGGTAAAAGCATACGTTTATGCTTGACTGGGATACGGGACCGTACGTAAAACGAGAACCTGTATATCTGCGTCGTAATCGAGCGAACTCTCGAGTGTGTGGGGGGAGGGGNGGGGGGGGGGGGGGGGGGGGGGAGAAAACAACAAAAGAAAGGAGAAAATCGCAATCGAATCCACAGACACTTGGCCGCAGTAAAGGCATCCTTCGGACTCTCGCGTAAACTACCTGAGATATCTTATATAGTTTTCAGTCGTTGAGAGAAACGCACAGATTTCTATGTAACGCTGCTGCTGGACTATTAATACTCGAACGTACCGCCCGAAAACACACACGAGGGTAAGGCTAACTAACGAAGTGTACCCCAGTTTGAAAATCCGACGAAACGTCCCGACGGTCCAATTCAGGTGGACGACGACGACGACAGGTGAATAAAAGCAACTGTCTCGAGGAAGAGGAAGAATAGAGCCGGATTGTTTTTTTTTTTGCGTACGAACTCGATTTGATATACGGTGAGAAGTCGTAGGAAAAATGTCGAACACGCGGCACAACATGAGAACAGGACGACAAACCACAACTGGGATATAAGATATGTACTTGCGTATATGTTTTTTCGAGCGGTGTTTTTACCAGTCTTGTATATATTCGATATTCTAAACGGTACAAAAAGAAAAAACGCACACACTCACATCGACGGTAAAGTCGCAGCGAGAGCAATATAACCGGGGAAACGGGTGGCGGACAACAAAATATCCGTCCTGTCGTCCTTAACGTCGCCGTTGAATACCCGACGATCTGTGTGACGTATGAGGGATGAGAAGGGAAGTAAAGGGAGAGAGATAAGCGCGGCTGCTACATTTCCTTCAGATATTGCTCTCGGTGCCGCTGTATTCAAAGAAACGATGTGGAAGCGACGAGTCCTTATATATTAATTATTACAACAACAAACCAGGCGATATTAGTAGCACTTGTGGAATGCCTGTCACGAGATTGGTTTGTTTTCTGTGCGCGCATTAACAACAAGCGATACGATTCCCCTCCCCTTCCCTCGCTCTCTAGAAATACTTCGTCGAGAAATGATAGCGCGCGCCGTTCGCGCTGTTTTCGTGTACTCACGCGATTCACCTACGTGGACAGAATAAGTACAAACTATCTAGCTTTGATTCGAAGTACAATAAATGCGTTGCGCGCGCAAACGTCCGCGCGAACGATTCGCGAGGAGCGTCTCGACATTTCTTTTTCGTTTCCTCACACGTTCTCTTTTCCTTGACTTGATTTGCTTTGAGGGATAACCGCGGAAAGGAACGCCACGACAAGCTGCTGCGGAGAAAGTAATCGTCACACATTCACCGGGCGATGAGGTAATCAGAAGGCGGTAATCGGGGGGTCGGATGGCAAGCGTGTGTGTGTGTGTGCAGAAATAACAAATATAAAGTGTCGTGTAACTTCCTTAGAAACTAATTAGACTTAAAAAGGGCCCTCCTCTCCGGAGATATCCGGCTGCTGCTGCTGCGTACTTAAACGATACATAGAAAATTTGATTCGAGGGCACACGTGTATGTACAATTGTATAGTTCCATGCACCTTGATCGCGCGACGACGGCCACGCGTCCCGACGAACACCAGCCAATCAGCAACGTAATATCAATGTTGTAATTCGCCCACCGTGAATGCGGAAAAAACAATGTAGATACGATGTAACGCGCGTGTTACGTAACAGTTACACTGTCGAGTGGGGAATTATAACGTTTGATGTTACGTCACCATTTGATTGGCGTTCGTTGGGACATCTGTTTATCGGAATAAAAAGAAATCCTTGCAGAGCGCGACGTGGACATCGTCGTGTTACGGGAGCGACGTAACGTCCGAGGATGTGCTCTCGCCTTCCACGTCGGAGGACTGTATGTAAAATAGTTTAGCGGAGTTTTCAACAATTTAACCCTTTACACTCAAATCCGTCGATTCGAGAGAGACTCTCGTCATCCGCGCGAGTTCGATCGCAAATCAACAATTTCGGCGCGCGACATCGACGCGACTGTGCGTCACGGCTCTTCGTACTTACAATTCTGTGTACAGGACACCGAAATCTACACAGCCCTGCCTCAATCCACGAGTGGAAAGGGTTAAAGGCGATGAAAAGTCATTATGGCCGTATATTTCCTTTTCTTTTACTTCATCACATTATCATGAGTACAGGGAACATGGATGAGTTTCCAAGCATCACTTCTCACGTGATCATCGGTGCGAGAAATGTCTACTTTCAAAGATTCCGGTTGTTGCACGGCGCCGTTATCACCGAGGGATATTGCAAAATATCGTGCGAACGATAACGGCGCGCGAAACGCCTCGATGTAATGAAAAAGTGTCGCACTGATCGCGCTACGACGATAGAGACAATGGGAACGCGGCGGTGGAACAGCTGAACCGCTCGTTTCAATTGATAAATAACGCTCGGCCGGGAATCCTTCGAGATAGGCATTTCCCGCGGCTACAAAATACATGTAAAAAAAAAGAAGAGAGAGGGAAAATTAAGTGTAACGTAAAGCTAGTCTTACAAATTACAGATAATCTTATATAAAACTATAAGATTCCATTCGAGCGACCGCCTTCCCCACAATACGCTTGTAACAAACCTGTAGCTACGCTTACACGCTATGGCAACATAACTCGAAGTTCCGGGTGATTTCGTATATCGTGCTTCGCGCTTCGGTGTATAGTCGTCGTTTCTCTCATTTATTTTTTTCTTTTTTTTTTCCGGATGAAGTATCCCATGGACCTGTGCTTGCGTCACACACACACACACAATTAGATATATACAATTTGCCTACAAAAACGTAACGAGTATTTATCGATACTCATCAAACAGTTTAAAAACATTTCGATACGTACGGACTGACGCGAAACTAAAATACTACGCCGTGCGTTACTCATATTCATAAAAACGTTGTACTTGTACTCGTGTATTGTCATGCTAAAGAAATAAAAAAAAAAGAGAGAGAGAAGAAAACAAAAGGGAGATAAAACACGGCGATTATACAGTACAAAACAAGCGCACGGAGAGACGATTCCGATTAACAGGTAATGCCACAGAGTGCCCTACAACGTATGCTCTACTAATGTATTATTGCTCTTTGCACCTCTCAAAATGTTCGAAACGCTGTTCTCCGTCCTATTCTAAAAACTCGTGTAAAAGTCACTTGATATCGAAACTCAACCAACAACCTCGCAGCTCAGTGAAGTACGCTGTCTTCGTCGTGTGGGGAGGAAAAAGATAGATAGATAGATAGATAGATAGATAGAGAGAGAGAGAGAGGGGGAGAGAGGAAAAAGAAAACGTACTCAGTCGAATCTAAAATATTTCGCCAGATTAAAAACGAAAAACAAATCACAACGCGTGATCGTTTACTCGCGATTCCTTCTATCGTAATAAATTATCGTTTTTCGCGCACATATTCGTATTAAGACCTCGTAAAATAGTGATGCCTATACTACAACGACTGTATTGTCATTAAAAAATATCATATTCTCATGGGTATATTTGGCAAGCATGCACGTCGATCTGGAAGATCATCCTTTTTTTTCTTTTCCATTCTGAGGGACGACTAAATGAAATGTTAATCGCATCGAGAACTAATGACAACTACGAGAGGACGGCTCGCAGTCTTTTCCAACGTGCCTCCCACTGAGACTTATTATTATTCCTTGCGTGATTCGAGTCGAACGCAAACCCAGGACCGGACGCGTTACTCTTGCTCGGATAAGCAACGTTGCTGTGACTCAAGTCCGGGTTCAAGCCGGCCAGGTCGACGGTACTTAAGATTCGCACGGCGGACGAGAGTCGAAGCTTGCTGGCTGGGGAGCTAAATACCAGTTTGCGGCCTTGCTTACTGTTGTTACCGGTGTCGCCAATACTGCTACAGCTATTACGCTCGCTCTGTAACTGTTTTACTTTGCGGGAATACTCGACGAGGAACGATCTCGCCATAGATCATTGCCGGTACGCCTGCGGCGATATGCCGTTCCCGGGTGTCACGTAGTCGCCGATCATCAGGCTGGGATTCACTGGGTAATGAGAGGTGTTGCCAAGGACCAGCGATTGCTGGAAAGTAACACCAAGCTGTAGCGCGAAAGTCGCGGGCAAACGTTTCGTTTTAGTTTCCATTTCTCATGTGTGCAAGACATTATAGAGTGACAGATCGCGCGCGCGTGTGTGTGTGTGTGTATAGCGAATTATCGCGCGGAACGTTCGCCTCATGCCTGAGAATTCATCGTGGTTCTGGTTCTCAATCAGTCGCGCTGTATAAAATGTTACGAGGATGATACGAATTGTACTTACGGTGGCGGGAGATGTGAACATGTTCGGAGTTATCCCACCGCCTATCAATTGTGCCGCTTGTGTGCTCGTGGCAGTACCTCCCACACGACCCCGACCGGTACTCGAAATGGATCCGGGATGTATGTTCGGCTGGCCGCCTGCCACACATAAAGAAGATCGTACGTTTCATCTCTATCGTATTGAATACATCTCGCGCGAACTCTAATAGCACTTTGAACGCAAGTTGAGATAACAGATAGAGTATATACTTTCGCAATATCTATTCCGCATCTCATAATCACAAAACTGCGCACTTTTTTCAAGCACTTTTTCAACCATCGTTGACGAAGGAGAAAAAAGATTGGATGAAAATGTTGCTCAAAAACGCTCCAAGCAAGGTATCAACGTACCTTTCTAAATTTCAAAGTGCGCAAAGCAAAGAAAGATCGCTTGGGAATGTTGCAAAAAAAAAACGGTAAGCTCTTGGATTTGCGATAAGAGAGATAAATGTCATGTAAAAACGTGCATCTAAAGAGGTGAAATAAATGGTCTGGTAAGAGATATTTACACAAGCGACCTACTACAATAGGCGCTCAACGATAAAAGTGGGCTTATCCCGTTTCTCTCGGTAGAGATACGAGTCTACCTTGTATTTTATCCGGTAAAGAAGTGGGACAATTCTAACTTATACAAAATCATCAGGATAAAAAGAGCAAACTCAATTTTTGTCAGAGATATGGGATTAGAACAGTTAAATATTTGTAAGCTCATACTTCTAAAAAGAAGTTTATTTACATGAGTTGTGGATTCTACAAAATGTATAAATTAGAACAATCACAAGGAACTTTTTCTTCTTTGTACAAGTGTCTTGCATGATGTCGAATAATAAAATATTTCAGTCCATTCTCTGTAAGTACTATTACAATAGAAAGGTTCGACAAATTGATAGTTAACAGTTACAAAACATTTATATAATTCGAACGATATCACCACATAAAAGCCAAAAGTAACTTACATTTATCGTACGTGTTCGTCATCTAAATGTCTTACTATCGGAACAAACTATAATTGCAGCTCTATTAACCATAGGTAATTTTACTTTACAATTTTGGAGGTGTGTTTACATAAAAAAGAAATATTTCTACGCTAACAGTATCTAATAAACAGCCCTCGAAGCACGTATGCAGCGCTCTAGTGAGAATTGTTTAATAAAACGTTTATCGGCTATATTATATTTCATGCTAACTTTTTAACATTGTACTTTTATATCGAAGAAGCGTCACTGGGATAATAAGATCTCGACGTAATTGAATGAAACGGTCATTTGGAAGTAATCCCTTGGAAGAAGGAACGTTGGCTAGGATATCCTTGTATATAATAACATGTTACAATGAAACGTATTATTATACAGCAGGAGCTAACGGGAGAACCAGTGGACAAATAAAATGCATCCTTCCGATTTTGAAGTCGATCATTTACTGTTACTGAAATACTTCACTGTCAATATTCTAAAGTTTAAAGTAAATATCATCATTCATCGTACTTTGACACGTCGGATGTCACGGATACCTTCGATACAAAAATCAATCGAGACATCGAAGGGATTTAAAAGTTTCCTGGCGTTGTACGTGTGTGTGACACGAGGACATTGATTACAATCTTATGTATTACACAATGGCACGTTTAACACATGTAGTGATATACTGGGGAGTCAAACCAAATCTTACCTATTGCCAGCAAATTATTCGGATTTACGGCCGTACTCGTGTCCATCGAGACTTCACCGAGGCCATTAACCGACATTCCGTTAACCATATTCACCGCTTGTCGAGCACCTTGCGCATCCAAAGTTGTCCAGTAAGACTCGCTAGGCGAGGTGTTGTTCAAGCCAGGCGGTGGTTGCGCCGCAGCACCCGTGTATCGGAAGTAGGGATTTTTCAAATCCAAGGTGTTGCTGCTGCTCTCCAAGTTCGTTCCCTCGAGCTTCAGGTCTATTGTTACGTCGTAAGATTGTCTGAAATGGATACGTTGCATATACAATAACAATGCGAAAGTTTCGATATCCGGCGAATGTACGGGATTGTATTACCTTTTATTCGCTATAAGAATCACTTTCCCCGAGAGTAGCTGTCCACTTTTACAAAAGAGCGGATTCTCCAGGAGGCAGCGCACTTGATACCAATGCGTGAGAGGTTCTGTAGGAGCTGTACTTAGCCAAACTTGTTGGGTCGATCCGATAAACGCTACATCGAACCAAAAGGCTAGACCGTGGCATGTGCCACTTTCCAGTATATGAAAATCGACATCTATTTCTGAAAGGTAATGCAACACATTATTTTCTTTTACTCTTGATTTATTTATTGAAATATTTCTCTTGCATACCTATTTTATGTAAATCAGTCTCATTAGCTGTTTGGAAGTCTACTATGTGCCTCACCGATTTCGCCATACATATTCTAACATCGAAAGTATCGACGATCGGCTGCCTGAAGTACTCTTTAATGGCGTTATTTCTCATGGCAGAGAGATCCACCCCATGGAAACACGTCTGATACCAAAAGTTGGCCTTGTTGAACTGTTCCATGTAAAGATTCTCGTCGGAAAACGGTGCAATGTGCAGATCGCCTCTGGAGGGAAACATCCTTCCACCTGTAGGAGGGAAAAATCGTTTCGTTAGAAAATGGGGAGGCGAGAAAAACGAAGAGTCCTCTTTCACTTACCAGGAACTAACCACTTTTTCGCATGTAAATAAGTCTCCAGCATTCTTTCATTATACAACATGTATCCCATAGGCTCGCTCACTATACAGTCTACACGCTCCGGCAAGTCGATCTCCTCTATCTTTCCAGCTATGACTATTATTTTATCCGATAAATTATTAGCTGCAACTAGTAGCTCCGCGTGATTCGCCATATTGCTCGCCTCTACCGCATATACTTTTTTTGCGCCCGCCTGTATAGCGAAGAATGATAATATGCCGGACCCAGCTCCTACGTCTAGCACAACCTTGTCCTTAAAGTCGGATAAGTTGCCGAGGATAGCTCGCTGGTATGTACTGGTCCTGATGTAATCCTGCATCATGTTTTGCTGTTGCGACAAATAGCCGTAAAATTGGAAATACTGCATCGCTGAAGACTCTTCCGTTCTTTCGTTAAATGCCGACACACCCTTCCCCATCTTGAGCTTTACTATTTGTGAGTGAAAGTTGCGAAAATCTGTCGATCAAATATTATTGCTCAAATTTTCGCTGATATTACCGTACATGTACTGCGATAAAACAAATTGTAATTTACATCATTTAAAGAATTTCATCCTACAATGGTCGCGCAAATGACAAGTATCGTCCATGCGCGCTGAAATGCATTTCTGAACAAATATTATCAAGCCACCCGTGTATTTGTGAGTTAGAAACTACTCTCATTTGTTTTTTACGATCATTATATATTCCCATATAAATCAATTTAAAATGGAGGACACTTATCATCTACGTGATTACGTGTTGAATCTAGACAGCTACTCCGGAGTTAAAAAGCTAAGATCTTTTAAAAAATCACGCAGATTAGGCAACATAAATAACTGTAGGCTCACCTGATTCATTAGCAAATGTAATGAGTAAACTATCTGTATCAATTGTAAAAACATAACTTCGAGATGATACGCGAGAGCATTCGGTGCTGGGAGTTACTGGAAATTCCAGTAAGGATGCTTTTTCCCTGCCGCTGAGATCTCCTAAAAAATGGTATTGAGGACGATTAATATTTTTTATTGAGAAAACCAAAAAAAAAATGAAAGTCATCATCAAAGTCGTCGCGCCGGGCGATGCCGATGGAAATTAGCCGATCAATTGCGAACCGATACCTTGCCATATCTCACCGCACGCCCTTTGTGCAACGTGATCTTTCCCATGCCGAGTGTAACAATAGCAACGGTCCCGTGCGGAATCATTCGCGCGAGTAATTACCGCCATATCGTTTATCGGGACGATGAGAAGCGCGCGCGATCAGCCCCCAACGACGAGACTCGCGATTCTTCGCGAGAAAAAAAAGGCTGTCGGAGCACGTTAGTTAGGGAAAGGTCGTTCGATGACAATACCTTGGCGCGATTTCGACGCCGGCACAACACGGGAGGCGAGGGGGGGGGGCGGAGGGTCCGACGGACTCGAGAGAGCTCGGCAGGGCGAAAAATCGGCGCGAAGTGCGGTTATGTTGCCCGGGTCGCGATCGGTCGCGTGATCGATCAGTCGCGTCGAACAGCCCCCGCGCTGGACGCCGAGACGCGGCGCAACGGCGCGTCCCCTTACCTGAGACGAACTCGACGCTGAGGCCCTGCGGGTCATAGTTAATATTGAGCGTGACCGGCTTGTTGTACTTCGGCGCAGACTGTCCATTGTTTGACAGAGTCGCGACCGTCACCGCGCGAAACGTCTTCGCCATTTTTCGCCACACCGCGTGCTAGCGCTTCCCGACGCGGTCACTCTCTCTCTCTCTCTTCCTTCTCCTCCTTCTTCTCCACCTCCTTCTCCTTCGTCCGCCGGTGGCTCGTAACGCACTGTCGCCGCCGTCGTCGCTCGCCTCTCTCGGCGCGCCGTGCCTCCCGCACCGCTCGCGAGAAACAAAAGCCGCCGCCGCACTTCGAATAGGAGAGAGAGACTAACCCCCGGCCAGGGCCGTCGCTGCTGTGCCGCAGAATCGCGCGATTCCTCGCCGCTCTCACCGGACACGCCGCAAGGTGCCGCGAGAACGCCGCAGCCTGTGCTCAGCGGACACGTAGATTGCGGACGACGCGACTCCTACCGTCGGCGCCGACCGATCGCCGTCATAGTTGCGACTTCTCGCCGATCTGGCGCAAAACTCGTTCCCCGGGACGACGTGGCGAAGTCGATTGGTCGGCCTGCCGGGAGCGCGGAATACGAAGGAAATGAGGCGGAAGTGTGTTGCCGATATTCAGTGAAGGCCATTGGAAGGGTTTGCTTCTTTCTTATTGAATATCAATAGAGCCATTAGATAGATTGTTTTGATTAAAATAAGCAGCTCGAGAAATTCCGCTCGACTTTGCAACGACCTTCTTTACGAAATCATTTCATATTATTTGTAAGCCGGATATAATCCCTTTGGTATTATAGTAGAGAATACGATAAAAATAAAGAGAAAAAAAGTGTAAAGAGAATTTAATTAATCATTGATAAGATCAAGTTTCGATTAAACTTTTTGTCACGGCAAATCCAAATTTATTAATCGATCGCAGACGAATATCGGTTAGCAGGTACGCCAATTCCATTTAAAAGTCTGAAGCTTCCATATGATGTTTTGTGCGAAGTAACGAAGAAAAGATTGCATTTTTTCAGATTTCTAGCAGGTACATTAAATCTAGAACAACATCAGTAAAGAAGGGCCTGAAATCACTTGATTCATCAGTCTGTATAAAAATAACCCAGCGAGAAATGAACCGTCGAACTGATATCAATTTGACCTCTATTAGATGTTCATTTGTCACCGGGAAGAGATCAGATGTAATCTTTCTATTTCGATACATGTTGGATTTAGCGTAACTTCCACCAAAACTCCGATCAAGCTGAATGTATAATAATGAGAATTGCCAACGGCAATTTCCAGTTCTGTAACTTATCGTTTAACGATAATCGTGAATAATTTCTACCTGCGCTAGCAAGATAGAGCGGACCAAGTACGACAGAAAATAACGATGATGTCACAATGACATGACGACAATGATCAAAATGATGAGAAAATAATTGAAGAGTAAGATTGTACAGTCATTATCTTGTCATTTTAACGTGATTGTCTGTCCCTTACCTGGAAGGCATAACACTTGACTAACAGCAATTTGAAGTCGTCGATTATCTTAAATCGAGTTAGGTGCGTCCGTCCTTCTAGACGTAAAAGTTGAATGTAATATTTCTTTATAACGCGCCTGTGCAGTCTATTTCGCGGTATTATTAAAAACTTCAAGATCAAATTTCCACGTGATGGAATTTGCCCGTCGAAGAATTCGAGGAAAGAGCCTCGGGAATTTAGAGCAATTTGCGTAATTGAGCGCGCAGATAATCATCGCTGCCACCGTCGATATTATCGCGGTGAACGGAGGCTGTATCATTTGCCAGAGCCGTGATAATCCGTGGGAAAACTATACGATCATTATCCCGGCGTGTGCTATGCGCGATTCAACGATAAGCGAGTGGAAAACATCGAACGAGAACGGCATTGAACGGCAGCCGCTCTCTCTTATCGTTGCATCTGCTCGGACACACGTGCTCCGCGACGAACCTCGTAAATCCGCCGCGCGGCTGATCGAATCGACTTTCTAAACGCGTCCAAACCGGCCTTGTTTGGTCAGACGGACTGCCGAGCTTGAAAGCCATCTAAACGCATTATCTCAATTACACACGGGAAATCGTCAACTTCCCCGTGTTTTCGATACCTCTCGGAGATACACAGTGGCGTACAGCCAAACTCATTGATTCGGAGAGATAGAAAACGCGATCGATCGGAGGCAGAGAGAGAGAGAGAGTCCGGCGACAGGCAGCTAATCAAACGAGTCAACGGAGTGCTTCTAGGGAAGATTTGTCTGCCGCACCGTCGTCGGGCGCGCGATTTTTCAGCCAGACTCACGGCGAGTGAATCGACCTCAGGGACGAAGAAGGGGGGAGGATGAGGGGCAGGAAAGTAGTCTGAAAATGCGGAGCGCATTGGAGGAGGAACGAAATAAAGCGTCCGTGACGCCGAAGGGTCAGAGGCAGCTCTTTCGATCAACCGCGTGGAACCGGCCCGAAATGTCGGGGCGAGCGTGTGCATCCATCTGTGTGTGTACATGCGTACATCGCCGGCGCGTAGCGTCGCGGCGCCGCCGCCGAGGTGCATGCGCGTCGCGTGCCGCAGCATGGGTCGTCGCCGCGATCTGCCCCCGCTTTTTCCGGACGGCAGTAGCGTTCCCGTGGCGCTTTCCGCCGCAGTGTGGCGGCTGCCGTGATTGCCGACCGGCGGCTAGTTGGACGAGGGCGGTCGACGAAGACGACGAAGGCAGCGGGGACACCCTCGTTACTATGGTGAGTGCCGCAATGCCGGGGGGGTGCGCTTTTCTCCGTCCTCGCGGAAGAAGCGAGAGAGATCGACGACGGAATGTTGTGCGTCCCTCTCGCAGCCACGAGGCTCCATTTTTCTCGCCGGACGAGAGATGCAATTTCGCGCAGCGGTGTGACTTTCGGAATTTTCTCGACCAGCGGATCAAGCCATCGCGACTCCGCGGCCGTCACGGCTTGGCGGGTGTTTTTCGGCCGAAGAAGCCCGCGTCGCATTAAACGCGGGGTCGTCGAGATTCCTCTTTCTCCTCTCGTCAGTCATATGGTCGCGTTTAGCGCTTCGGCAACCTCGTTCGACGCTGCGACGACACGAGACATCGCATTTTTCACGTCACATATTTGTAACGTCAGCCGGTGGCACGTCGATATTTAATCCCCCGGGCTCGCCGACAAGTTGCCGTTTCTTCTTTGAAGCCGCACGAGAAGGCAACTTCCGCGCGATCTTCGCACAAGAGGGTCATTAAGGGGTACTAGGCGGAAGGTGGAGAAAGAGGGAGGCACGCCAGCGTCTTCCGCTTCGGTGTTGATCATTCTGACGGATTACCGGGATTAATCAAGATTAACGATCCGATGGCTTAACCTCAACCGCAGTTCCTCGCGGCGAACTGCCTTAGATAAATATTTGCGCCCGCTCGAGCGCACTGGCAGGACTCGGCGACACTTTCCCCGGAGTCCTGCCGAGTAGCAGGAGGTGTTGGCGGAGGGGAAAGAGGGGCAGAGAGAAGGCGATACGGTGTGTTCGGTAACTGCTTTTAATATTTATCCAAATCCGCTGTTTGCGTCGCGGTGGTGAATGGTCGCGCTACCGTGGCGCTACCTTTGCGCCGAGTGGGGTTGCTCCGCGGTAGGAGGAAGGGGGCTGATACCGGAAGGTCAATAAAGGAAGTGGAAATGTATTTAACGAGCTTAAGTTATCGGGAAGTCCTGGAGCACCGGTGTAAGGCCAGGGTGGGTCGCGCGGGCTGAGAGACGGGCGAATTTATGGCGACTCGCACCGAAGGAGACCCGGCGAGAGCTGGGTTTTTCGACTCGGGCGCACAGGAGAGCCGAAAGTACGAACCGAGGGAGAAAGAGGTATCTCGCGTATAATCACACCGGTAATTGAAAACGGGCCGACCAAAAGGTGCGGATCGTTGCAACCAGGCGATCGCGCTTAGTCGAGTTCTCGCTGCGAGCGACGCGGTTTGTGTTTAGTTTGGCGGAGCGGGAACTCCGCGGGGAAATACGGTATTACGACGAGGTACACGTGTAGCCATTTCGCGAGGGATGTTGCCGAGTTAATTGGATTGGATTAAGGTTGACGGTTACGAAAGTTAGTTACAAAAGTACCGGACGATGCAGCGGCCGGCTGATCGTTTGCGCGTTTCGCAACACGCACGGAACACGCGCCGTTATTGCTATTCGATAAATATCGAGGCGCACATTTCGATATCCGTTCTGTGAGAAGATGCCCCTCTGTGTGTGCGTCTGCCGATAAATACACCCGGAAAGCTGATGTTTAACGAAGCGATCCGTTCGTGATACAGACGCGAGAGATCGAAGAAAAGAAATTAACCACGATGTTGCGATTTGAACGAAAAACGACACCCGGTGGAACGACATCGACCGCGACCTTGATCGATCGCGAGACGGCTTATCCGAGCACATTTCCGGGCAACACGCCAACCATCCCTTATTGATAATCCATGTAATCTACATCGCACTCGCGCGAGATCGGTCACGGAAGGTCTCTGTCGAGATGGCGAGCGAGATCCCCCGATTTACAACATTACACGTATATCATACGTTGGTATTGTAAGTCACGATCAATATGACGGCGGAAGAGGGACAGAATGGATGGAGAATGAGAGCGAGGGAGAAAGAGAGAGAGAGAAAGGTAGGGAGATACACGCCGTGAGGGGAATCCAAAGGGATGCACTTCTCTGAATTTTTAAGAGGAAGAAAAAAAGCTTTCCTTTCGGAGACATGTCAACGATCGACACCGCCACCTCTGGGAGATCAGTCTTGTTATAAATAAAACAATCCCGGTAAAAAAAGAAAATCCTCGCTCGTACGTTGTTCGTGACAACGTCGAATTCCGAAATTTTTGGCGATTGTCGAGTCGCCGACTATCCCGAGTTGAAATTTCGGTGTTATTTTATTGCCCTTAAGGATATTTTGCGTTTATTTATTTATTTAAATGGCCTGTATATTAGTGAAAACCTACTTTGATGATACTTGGTAATTTTTTTCTGGAATTTTTAATTCTTCCGATTTACTTTTAACGCTATCTTGAAGCTAACGATCCTCTCAATATTTCGACTATTAAATTCAAAATAATTTGATGCAGAAAACGGCGGA